CTTTAATAAATAAATAAATTGAGCAAGGAAAATGAAAGAGAAGAAAAACTGCTGCTGCCTCACTGAAGGCAGCTCCTGCAGCAGAGGATTTTATAGCAGAGTGTGGAGTCAGAGGCCCTAAGGAGCTTTTAAAAACTCCTGCCATTCTGCTGATGCAGACCATGCTTTAAAACAGCTCTGAAAGAGAAAGAATTATATCCTTGCTGGGTGCTGTGGCGCATGTCTCTCATCCCAGCGACTTAAAGCTAAGGGAGTAGTATCACAAGTTCAAGGCCAGCCTAGATAACTTACCAAGATACTCAGAAATTTAGAGAGACCTTCCTCAAAATGAAAAAAAAAACCACAAAGGACTTAGGATGTAGCTGAATGGTAAAGCATCCCTGGGCTCACTCCTTGTACTGAAAAGAAAAAGAAGAAGAAGAAGGAGGAGGAGGAGGAGGAGGAGGAGGAGGAGGAGGAGGAGGAGAAAGAGAAGAGGAGGAGACAGGGAATAGAATCATGTCTTTGTTAGAGGAACCTCTTCTCTGGCTTCAGCTAAATGCACTAAGCTTTTAAAAGTCTACCTATCTTGCAAATTCATTCCCATTCCCTTCACTTTCTTTTTTATATTTTTATATAATTAGTATAATTCAATCTATGCTCTTATTGAGACATTATAATTTTATTGTCTGTAAGTCAACTAAATTCCCATTATGAGAGATGAAAGTTATACTCTCATCTCTTTGCTCTCATCTCTTTGTGTTTGTGAGTTTTGCTGGTGAAAAGATCCAGAACATGCTTGGCAAGTGCTCTACCACTGAGCTACACACCCAGCTTCCACACTCACATCTTTAACACTAAGTTCTGAAAGACTGAGTCTGAAAGCATGATGGAGTATGCAATCCTTCTGATTCTTAGCACCTGGGTCTACATGGGAATGCATTGAAGCATTTCTCATCCCAGTGGGCTCTCAGTGTGATCCCTGCAGAGCTGTAGACGGCTCTCTTTCCTGTCTGCTTGGCCTTTTTAGGACTCGGTCTTCTCTGCTGCTTCCAACAATCTTTACTCAGGCTCAGCCTCCCAAACTGTTGAGATTACAGGTATACACCACCATGCCCAGCTCCTGTCATACAATTCTTTCCATCTCTGTCTTATTCACTCCAAAACTTTTTGACTCAGATTTTAAAAATTGTTTTTTATTTGACTTTGATTTCTAAGGTTTTTATTTTAGAAAGAGACCTTTCTCTTTTCATGTATCATACTCCTTTTGATCAAATTCTAAACAAGATCAAATTAACACAACACTTAATTATGACCCCCCCCCAATCCCTGGCTAAATAAACACTGCCCATACTCTTTGTGAGTTTCTATGCTAAAATTTAGGAGTTGACTTTTTAATATAGTTTAATTCAAAAAGAAAACATAAGCTTATAATTTTGATAAAAATGCGTTTTTCATTATCTCCCTTTGATATTAAAATAATCTTAAATTTTAGAACTTTCTTCTTATCTTGAATTGACACCAGCTTTAGAATAATGATGAGGGGAAGTGTGGGGGAATCCTTTCCTTTAGTAACAAGTCTACAGATGTGGAATCAAAGCCCATGTCTATCATTTCCAACACAATCATATTGTTGAGTTTATGTCCCTCTTTTCTTCTCCCACATTTTATGAACAGAAAAGAACTAGGTGTTACTGACAACCAATTAAGAAGCTTTTGTATAAAAATCTCCTCTGAAAAGCTGGCCAAGGGGGCTTGAAATTCATCTTTTGATGTAGTTTCAGAGGGCAGATGAAGCTCTGCTTAAAAACAAATCACTTGTCATTTGAAACCTTCATCCCACATAACATTCTTGATAGGCTGCTTTCACATCAACAACCCAAAATTCCATCTTATATAAATCTTCCTGATAATTCTAATTTGAACATTTGAAAACTAATTATCAAAACCTAATCTATGATACCTACTTTTTTTTCCAGAAGAATTATACATAAACCACCCTGATGGGAGGAACATAATTATCCCATCCTAATACATGATGCAAAAAGAAAAAGAGAAAGTGAGCATTCAGGTTTTTCTATACCATCTTATTTCTATAAGCCACCTCAATAACCCAATGAAACTTCACATACAATTTGCTAAAATGACTTCATTAAATCTTCCCTTGCCATTCTTCTATCACAAAGTCTATACAAAAATCTATTCATTAGATAGTGGCTTCTAATTACATATTCTTTTTTGGCTAGGATAAGGGGTAAATCTATAATATTTTCACAGAGAATATAATCAAGTTCACTAAATAAGGAAAACAATCATAAAGACTGAAGAAGCATCAGGAAAAGAAAAAAAAGAATTTGAAAGGAAAAAGAAAATAACTCCTCTGAAAAATCTACAATGTGAGGGCTTTTTGTTTGTTTGTTTGTTTTTGTTTTTGTTTTTGTTTTTTACTGCATGTTTCCCAAAGTGAGTTAAAACACATCTACTCCAATCAGGAATAACCAATTATGTAAATCTGTACTCTTAACATAGAAGGATGAGACCCTTAGAAAGAATGAGCAGATGGCAGGACCCTTGGGAGGGCTGGTGTAAATAAAAACTCCTGAGGCAGAAAGGATCTGTTCACACATGGGAAAAATCCGAGCTTTTCCATGAAGCCATTTTTTTTTCTTTGTGCACTTAGCCTTTTTCAGAGTGCAATACAAATGTGCAATAATGAGTTGAGTCCATCAGGATATTTAACTTTCAAAACAATGTCCAGCTCTGCTGTTAATAATTTAGTATGGTTGATCATTTGGAGAAAAAGATGATTCCCCTTTCAAAAGGCCATATTTTACCAACTACACTCATTTCTGCATTCAGAGATCAAACTCACTTCCAGTGGCAGAGATCTCAGACACTTTCTCATAACCATAGTGACTGGGTAACGTTATGGTGCTCATTTGGAAATATCATCATGGTGATAACGTAGCCCATGCTAACATTCACACCATCATCTTCTATGGAGTTGGGTAAAGTACAAGAGGGGAGTGGGGTTTTATCTTACATTTTATTTTTATTACGGATAGCTTTTATTCTGCAGTATTTTTTTTCCCTTGTCTTCTCCATCTCCAGCAGTATGACTTCTGCAATGACTCCTTATCCTGGTGCACATGAAATAAAGTAAACTAAAGGTGATCACTGAGAATGTTGAGGAGGGAATGTGGTCTACTGCAAGCTTTCTATAAAGCTACCACAAACAAAAGACTACAATCTTAGCATAGGAAGACAGGCCAATGGAATAAAGAGGATGAAGAGAAATAAATCCTCGTATAAACTGGAGTTTAATATATGACAAAGGTGATATTTCACACAGTAGAAAGAGAGGGTTTAATCCATATGGGGTTATCCATCTGGAAGAAAATTAAGTTGGACTGGTAATTTATACCAAATGTAAAAAAAAAATTCCAGATGTATTAAAGACTTCCATGTAAAAATTAAAACAACAAAATCTTTCAAAATTGCTATATAGGGGCTGGGATTGTGGCTCAGAGGTAGAGCGCTCGCCTAGCATAGATGGGACCCGGTTTCCATCCTCAGTACCACATAAAAATAAAGGCATTGTGTTGTGTCCATCTACACCTAAAAAATAAATAAGTATTTTTAAAAAATTGCTATATATACAATCCCGGAGGAGGGGAAGACTGTTTTTGTTTACCAATTCTGGGAACACAGACATTTAGTATGGTTGATTAGAAAATATAGCTATGTTCCAATATTTAAAATTTAAAAATTTGTTTGAAAAAGAGAAGCATGGAGTATGCAATCCTTCTGATACTTAGCACCTGTATCTACATGGGAATGCATTGAAGCATTTCTCATCCTGATGGGAAAATATTTATAATATATAGGACAGAAAAATGGTCAATGTCTCTATTTTGCAAATAAGTTTTATAAATGAACAATAAAAAGGAAAACAAACCAATAGATGTTGAGGTAGTAGATACAGTCAATTGAAAGCAGACGATTAAAAACATTCAATCCTGTTGAAGCAATGAGATAATTTATATCCATTAAACTGTCAAAAAAGTACAATACCTATTTTTGATAGAGATACAGGAAAATATCTACCGTGGTGCTTGTAGAAATGTAAATTTTCAGAGTCTTTTTTGAAAAGCACTCTGGCAATATTTATAAAATTGAAAATATATACCATAGTCCACACAATTTTACTCATGAATTTATTCTAGACAAAAAGATGGCACTAATGTGAAAAAGATATATTTACAAAGTGTTTAAGTGAAGAATTATTCTAGTGGAAAAAAACAGAAAAAAAGTGCTTATTAAAGTAGGAGTTGAATATGTCACCAGATTCATAAAATGTATTTGACTGCATCAAAAATCATATAAATGGATGATGTGAATTAATTTTGAGGGATTTCTCCAGTTTATGGATTAGTAAGGAAATCCAAGATCAGAGAAACTCATGAGATATGGCCCTTATGCTTTTAATGAGCAAAAAATAATATTGTGTGTGGATGATTACATGTCTTCCCCCTCCCTCCACTTTTTAAATAAGAACAGCTTTGTCCCAGGCATGGTGGCTCATGCCTGTAATCCCAGTGGCTGGGGATGAGACAGTGGGATCCAAGTTTAAGGTCACCCTCTGCAACTTAGTGAGGCCTTAAGCAACTGAGTAAAAACCTGTCTCTAAATAAAATACTTTAAAGGGTGGTTGGAGATGTGACTCAGAGGTTAAGGGCCCCTGGTTTCAGTTTCCAGTACCAAAAAGTAAATAGATAAAAATAATAGCTTTATTGACATAATTCACCATTTTAAAGAGTACAATTCAGCATGTCACATATTTAATAGACATTTTTTTTTATGTTTTCATGGGAAATTAGCAAAAGAAGACTGAGACCCAGAAAGCTGGTCTGTTTATGCAGAAGGTGGAAACAGAGAAGCATCAGGATCCTGTCCTAGGAACGGCCTCACAGGTAAGAGACGTCAGTGGTCATGGGTGCTGTGTATAGGTATTTTTAAAAAAGAATATGGAATACTTCACAAATTTGCGTGTCATCTGTGCACAGAGGCCATGTAAAATCTTCTCTGTATTGTTCCAATTTTAGTATAAGCGCTGCCAAAGCAAGCACGTATGCAGGCATTCTTGATGAAGAAGATGAAAGAGCAGGACAGTCAAAATGTATTCATCCAGAGCTTCTTGCCCCTTAACTTGAATGAAACTCTTTTTCCTGATTATTCCTCCATTACAGAAGCAAATATTTTAAGAAAATCATGGCTAAGAATTTGATTACTGCCTCATCCTTTGTGAAACATTTCATATTTAAAAAACAAAACAAAACAAAAAAGGTGTTCTACCATTTGGCACCCTTTCTTTCCACCTATATCTCACCCCAAATGGACACATGCATTTAAAACAAAATCGGATCACAGTGACACATAGGACAACTCCAGAGGCAATAATCCTACCCCCAGAGTTGTGCATCTGGGCCATTCTGGCCTTGTGAGGTTTAAGTATTGAAAATACTTCAGTAAATATTAAACTGTTCATTTGTACTTTCTCCTTTAATGGATATTTCATTGCCATTTTTTTTATTCTGAAGGTCAAGCTATGAAAAATACACACCTTTCACAGGAAAGGTCTGGCGTTTCTCTTCTGTGGGAGAGTATAGCTTTAAAAGCAGGCTCTCTAGAAAGAGAAGCCTGTTGAATTTCTCTATTATACTCCGAGAGCCCATGGGAGCAAGGCTAGAGGTTCCTGTTCCCATTTTCTTGTGTGAAAGAAGAGGTGACACTCCATGTACCCTTGTTTAAGGCTTATTTAGAACAAAGTAGGAGAAGAAGGTAAAGGAACACCACATCTCTTCTCTCTTTCCTGAGGAACATAAGGGGAGACCTAGGTAAGGGAGAGCAGCAGTGGGACCTGTGCCTCCTCCCTGCCCCTTCTGGGCTTTGTTCCCACAGTTAGGGCAGAAAGCCAGCTGGCTCTTGCATGGCCTCCCATTCTGATCTCTGAGAAGGTGCTGACTCTCAGGCCACCACACATCCCTGCACAGAACACTCATAAGTAATACATCATTTTATACTCAGTAATGAAAGGCCGTCTGTCCACAAAGAAGACGGAAGCATCGGGAAGAGGCATCAGGAATGCATGCCTAGGTCAGAAGCTAGATGTCTGGTTATTGGTGTCATGTGCCATGGTGCCTGAGCTGAGTCTTAAGCTGATATAAGTGCCCAAGTGGTTCACATGATGAATTTGGAGATAAATAGGCTGTCAGACACTTACCAGGGTCTGGCCAGAAGATCTTGCAAAGACTAAGGGGAGGTCAAGGCAAGCGGGTACTGCTTCAGAGCCAGTGAGAAATATAAGGAGGTCAAATCAGCCAGAAGAAGGTGGCTGATGCTCTGTGTGAATATTTTAACCTAAAAGAACAGGCCACACTTCTCCTGCAGAACATGGAGCTGGTGAAATCAGCACCACCAAGGGAAAAGGCTCGGGGCCTAGAAGACCAGACACTGAAGGGCAAGCCAGGGGCTGGTGGGCCTCCCGGTGCCCACACAACCAGAGATATAGAAAGGAGAGAAATGGGGAGGAAGAGGCTTTAGAGAGATTGTGCATCTTTTATTCAAAAGACTTTATTCTGTGTAAAGGGAATGTTAAAAATGATTGAGATGAAAGTAAACCACTAAACTAGATTGGACATCATGTTAAGTTTTGTTTTCCTTTCTTAAGAAAGGAATGATGGGTGGCCCAGGGACACAACTACTCAATCACAAGCAAGTTTTGTCTACAAAGCCAAGCAGAGCTGTCAGTGTTCCAGCACTCCTCTCTGGCACACGGCTGGAACTATGCCACTTCCTCTCGTTCTGCTCACAGATATGGTTTCTGCGGACGTCAGGGAAACCTCTGCCCAGGGGACTCTGGTCCCTACCCTGTTTCTGCCCATTTAAGAGTATGTTAGTAAAGCAGCTGGAGGGCTCACAGGAATCCTTCTAGCCACTGTGAGAATCCAAAGAAAATAATCTGTCCCTAAAAAAATGCATATTTTTAATAGCCTACTCCCCTGAGAAGCAAAACTACAGAAAAGACACTTCTGGAAAATCATCTTGTCAACAAGTAATGAGCTGCACAACTCTAAACAGCAAGCAAATAGAAGCCCCTCTCCCTGCCTTTTACTTTGACCTTTCTCAGCCTGTTTCCACTTTACCTTGGTTAGGTTTTGGGTCTTGGCTAAACTGTGATGTTCTAATTTCCTCCCCTTTTCTCTTCAAACCACAGTAACTCACACAGGAGCCAAACCTCTTAACTAAAGAATAATTTATGACTGAGCAGCCAGCATTTTGGACAAAGTAGTTCTGTGGGAGGGGGGCAAGAGGTCAGAAGTTGACTCCCAAGCAGGGAAGGTTAGTGGCCTCCACCTCAGGCGTGGCCTGCTGGGATTTTCACATTGTGGGAGGGTCTGTGCCAAGGCCAGAACAATCCTGCCAGGCTCCTGCTCATCCCCTGAATGGGCTCAGCTGAACCTGCAGAACCTACAGAGCAGCGTGACTCTGCGCTCTAAGGACTTGTTCTTCAGCGGGAGAGTTAAAGAGTTATTGAAACGTAAGATATTCGGTTACTTCTGTGAAGAGAGACCATGTTGCTTGACTAAGTGATCTGTAAGTACATCACGTGGCTTCATTGAAGGCAACAGGCAAACCAGCAAAGCTCTGAGTGGTGCTTAGCAAGACACGGTCCAGCCAGCATATCATAAGAGGATGATGCACTGAGGACATTATATACAAGTCTGATATTTCAGATCACCTGCAGGAATGCAACGCATGATCCCCAATTCCACTCTTAGGGTACCTCTGAAGTTAGTTGGATTTGAGGGCAAGGCGCCTGACCTGGCTGTGAATAACCAGAGCTGGCATGCAACCTGTGAAAGTAACACAGGCAAGGCCAGCCTGAAGGAACTTCTACGAGGGGCTTTCAGCCTTAAGGGCTGCATGTCACCAGAGACAGAGGTTTAGTCAGAACTAATGATAACTCTGAATGAGTTTAGGATTCTCTACAGAAAATGAGATAATTACCTAAACACCTCCCGGATTGCTGGAAGAGAGTGAAGGAGGAACACCTGGGCACTGGCATGAACGAGAGTCCTTGGCTTGGAAATCCCAAAGGCTGAATGTTCTCTCTGAAATGCAGATGCTAACACACAGGGAGGGTGAGGAGGTGAAGAAGAGAAGTTCATTGGATTAGACAGAGGGGAAAGAAGGGAAGGCAGGGAGGTGGGGATAGAAAAGAGTAGAAGGAATCTGACATAACTTTTCTGTGTTCCTATATGAATACACCACCAGTGTAACTCCACATCATGTGATCCTAATTAGAATAAATTGTGCTCCATATATGTATAATATATTCATATATACTCTACTGTCTCGTATATCTAAAGAGAACAACAGAAAAGTGATTGGTTTTTACGTCTTCAGAGGAAACGTGCTCTCTTACATGGTGGAACACACACATCCCATAATGGTCCTACCTCCCCCTGCCTTTCTGGGGTCACTGACCAGAGAAGATAGACCATATCAGTCTGCAGTGTCCCTGGCTGCTGTTGGTGCTCTCTGCAGGGAACCAGGCCACATTGACTCCAGAATCCTGTGTGCCTGTGGTGAGCCTGGGATCTGTGAGCTTAGGGAGCTGTTGCTGTCAACAAATGGGCCTCCCTGGGGATTAACTGTGTTGGCAAAGGGAGAACAAGCTCTTGAAAACTTCTGTGGTGAGGTAAAGTGTGGCTTACTTGGCAAGGCCACCCTGTATGTGAATCAGCTCAGTGCCACTCCAGTCAATTTGACAAATACTTACAGCAGCGTTTCCCAGATGGTCTATTAACAATGCTTATTTTGTAGTTCAAGATGCGACCTTCTGATAGAAGGCTATAAGCTATACCAATGATCCTATTAAATGCCCTCACATGGGCTGGTTTCCAGGGCTATTACCAGACAGCATCTAAAAACTTTGCCCTCAGATTCAGAAAATTAATTTAATGAACTCCTTGCCCACTTAATTCCTTTGCAGTTTCGACCGGGAAAGCAAAGCCAACCTAGAGAAGGAATCGTTTTTAAGAGAATTGATATAGTTAGGAATGTGTGTCCCTCTAGACTTGTAATGATAGGCCCCTGCCAGGCTTGACAGGGGATACGGTTTCAAACATTGTAGCATTTTGCTGATGAACATGCCCCCACTGAGTTTCTAACCATTAATTTTCTAAATTGTATGTTTTAAAACTTGATAAGACTTGTTTGGTTACTGAATTATATCCTCTTCTGAATTCTTCTTTCTGAAAGATTCCCCCCACACACACACACCTTAAAGGGATATTACCCTACTTTGCACCACCTTCTCAGCAGACAGCTGTTCTCAATGTGCTTGAGTCCCTCTCCAGGCCTGCTTACTAACTTTTACATCTGCAGGATGGATGGGAAAGGCTGGTTTCACAACCAGAGCCTGTTGCCATCATCACAATTCAGCAGAGAAGGAAAGGGCAATTGCTGTTGGACTAGGTCTGACCTGAGCTCTGCATTTTGTCTGTGGCTTCTGTTCCCTTGATTTTTTTTTCCTTTTTCCTTTTTAGCTCAGATCTTATGCAAACCTAAGGGCTGCAGACCCAGATTTATGAGACTGTATGGTTCATGCTTCCCAGCCAGAGAGAACCTCACCATATGGGGCTTGCTGCATTCAACTCCTTATTGATCTACACAGAAATCCACATATAGAATCCATCTTGTAGATTCAGGAAAGGGAACTTTTTTTTTTTTTAAATACAGAAACAATATAACTAACACATATTATGATATATATTATTTTTATTGTATCTCAGATATCCACCAATTCCATAGTGCATTACAAATATGAAAATCTCAGTTAAAATTTTTACTGCTACTAAGAAGACCACACCTGGGAAAGGGAAGGCTTTTATAAAGGAATGAAAAAAAAAGGCAAAGAATGATAAAAGGCAACAGAGGCCAAAAATATATCTAGTAATATTGATCTTATTAATCTAATGCAGATTTTAATATTGAGCTTCAGTTTTTTTCTACCTATTTATTACTATGGGGAATGCTTTTGTCTTAAAGAAATATTTAACAC